GTAAAGATCCGTAGTTTAATTGCTAGTTTCATGATGCAGTGAAATAATAGTAGTGGATTTAAATTGACTGGAAGTAACTTGTTGTTCGTCAAAGTTCTGCACATTCAATAAGTTATAATTAAATTCTTAGGATTAGAAGATATTCATATTTGAACTTGAACTTATTTATGTTACAACCTAATAATTAATATTTTATCTACTTTCATATATACTGATAAGTGATTAATAATTAAGGATTGACTAAGAAATGTTTTAATTACGCTAATTATTACTGATAATTGTTAACAACCTAATAACTTATTTTGTTCATCGTATAAAACAAAATTATTAAATTTCTTTTTGTTATAGAATTAAAATTATACTAGTCACGTTTACATCGTTAAATTTTCAAATTCTAGCGCGTGTAGAAGTTATAGATATTAATTTGAGAATTTAATGAAGATCTACTTTCATTGAAAACTTTAACATTTTTAGTCGAATTAAATACAAATGCATTAAATGTTTCTTGATAAATATTATTATTTTCTGAATCCATAGTTTACATATTTTCTTTATGCACGTATAAAAACCAGTAATTTTGTATTAAAAAATGCTTTTGATGTAAATTAATTGATTTTAAATAAATAAGTAATACTACTTACAGGTTTCGCGAGCTAAGCGATGACAAGGAGATGGATTCGTAATTGGAGGTCTTAGGAAAAATAACAAATAACTGCCAATAAGTATTTAATTTAAATATCGTTAAAATATTATACGTATTCCTCTTACTTTAATGATTTCTTGTAACATCACAGAACACAAGCGCAATAATTTTAACGTTTCAATGTAAACCTGGAACTCTACAACGGCCAGTAAGTATTTATATACGTTTAAGTCTTTTGTAAAATAACGAATGATTTTGTAAAAAGATGAGGAGAATGTTAAGCCTTCGATACCAATAACTATTCTAACTCATTTTTATATAAGAACGAAAATATCAAATAATTACGAAATATTTCATATACTTAAGTATAAAAATATTTTTACATTTTATATAGTATTTAGTATTTAATTTTGGTGCTTTGTAAATATATCTAGCAGTTAAGGTTCCATACGAATTTAAGTTAATCGTAAGTGTAACTATTAGCGAACTAACGTGTAAATTTTCTAGTTAGCGTTGTATTATATTAGAGACTTTGTTGGCAACCATTTATAATCCTCATTATAAAACGTTAAATAACCGATACGGAACTAATTATAGTATTTAAACTCCGAAGGATTGTAAAACGTTTTTCTTGGGTAATTCATCATTCTACGTGCATAGTATTTACATGAATATTTAAAACATTGTAACAAGAAGAATAACAATTAATGAAAATATTATTGAGAATAATAATTAATAAATGGAATAACGTAATAAATTATCTGCTTGCTCAAGATTATTCCTGACCATTTGAAATTCATTTCTATTAATTTTCAGTTATCATGTAACATTTTCGTCGAAAAAGGACTTTTCCTTATCCTCACTTTCGATGATTTCACGTAATTGGTAATCTGCCAAGAGAAGTTGGCCATTTGTATTCAGACATGACCACGGTGCACGTTCATACGTACACAGCGTGTCGGAAGATTGACAATGTTTCTGACTTTCCCGATTATACGGTGAAAGGAGATCATATTCCGGTTCACGTTGTCCCATCGATTGAAAAGTGCAGACACTTTACCATATCTTCGTGACTGAAATTTAAGAACACGCCGCTCTCTAATTTTATTATAATCCGAATTGCTACAGAATGCCGGCGGAAACGGAAATAAAATTCACCTGAATGCTTTACTCGAACGGCAATCATCTTTTTTATTTCAGTATGAAACATAAATAAATAATAATGGATAAATGGAGCAATGAAAGAAATGCATAAGCGTATTGAAATTATTCGTTATTACTATTAGGCTATCGGTCTTTATATATTTGTGCAAAACTTAAAAGTGTAAAATTGTATTACTTAGAGTTCACACGATAAGAATAAATTTATAAAATATCTGTAGTGTAGAGCTTCTTAGGAAAACATTTTCTATTGCAATTTTTATTTTCTAATAGTGCACTTAAAAATTTGAAATTGTGTAAAGAGCCGCAGCCCAATTGTTACAAATGATGTATGCGAAGAATCAATCTGTTATTATTAAAAGATTCAGTAGTTAATAGTGGAAGAAAAATAAAGACAAAAAATTTTGCAAACTGACTCTCTGATTAATAACATTTTAATTTCAATATTAATTCAATGAACAAATAATGAATTAATAAAGTAAAGCTTTACTTAGACATTGTTTTCCAGCAATTAATTCTAAAAATTTGGATTTGTGTACATGCTAAGGAGCATGACAAGTTTTTGAATCTATGCCATAAATATTTATTTTTTGAAGGCAGATGAAAACCATTTTTCATATACTTGTTATATTATTTCTATCTGTATGAAAATTATTCATCTATAAATGTAACATAATATAAAAGAAACAAATAAATAATATAAGAATATAACAAATAACAATATAAAAAGACAAATGAATAATACAACAAATTTGACGAGAATAACTTTTACATGCCATTAGAAAATAATTAATCATACTGTTGATTGAAGAAGTTATTATCATATATTATAATATTATTTATTATGTAAGTGTAATAAATATAACAATAGTTATGTGAAGTTTTTATTACTTAAAGGGTATAGTAGACGTAATCAACTGGTCCAAACGAAACTCGTAGAAGTACGTTGTTTTCCTTCACAGTGCACGAGAACTTTTACCGGAAGGTTCTGGGAAAAAACGATCCATTGTTACTAGGAAAGATCGCGGCTATAAAAAAGGCTAGAACTGAAGTAACGAAAGACTTCACGTCATTAAGTCTATTCCTGCGGCGAGCTGACATTGAACAGGCACATGACCTTAATTAAAGCCAAGATGATACCGTGGTTACTGTTTCACGTAGAAAGTGTCGCAGCAGTTTTTACTTCTGAACGTAAAACGCGGAGAACGACGCAAGTAATCAATTTTCGAGAAATATAGCGTTTTAAACATTTCCTGGATAAGCACAAATTTATGACACAACTGAAGCAATAGATGACATCACTTGTTAAAGTCAACGATAAATGTTTATTATACAGGGTGGACCACGAAGCGTGATCAGCTTAGATTATTTTATTACTAGCGGTTCGATCTGAAATTTGTTAGTTAAAATAACATGGTTAGAGGAGAGCTTTAAAACTGGGACTGATAAAGTAATGAAAAAACATTTGTTGAGTCCGTAATTGTTTTGACATGAGTCTTCAAATACAAGACAAAATTTTTATATAATTTTATAAATGATTTTTTATAGGAGCCTTTTGCAGCCTCATAGGGGTCATTTTAAAAATTTTGATCTGCTGGCGTGCACGATTGCGCCTCATTGGAACGTCTCAAAAAAAGGAATTGTCCTTAGAAAAAGCATGACTGTAGCTCCAATATAGACCACGATTATTTTGTTTGAACAAAAATTTACAAAATGGTGGACCTCCAAAGTTGATGGTCTCAAAAATAGCATTTTCTTCGTAAAAGAAACGTTAAAAATTGAGGAAAAAATGAACCATTCCTATTTATTCTAGTTTATACTGGAGCTATTATTATATAGAAGAACATATTAAAATTTCAGACCGATCTGTTAAATGGTTTTTAAGTTATCATGCACACTGATTACGAAAACGTTGTTTTGAGAAAAACACGTTTAAAGTTTTGACAAATGAATTTTGACATATAAAATCTACTTGTGTTCAATCAGCTATGCTTGCTGCATACAAAATTTCTTCCGATTCCTTATACGGCTCGTTCTGAAGAGTTCTTTTTTCTCTTGTTAAATTCATTTAATTAATAATTAATAAATTAATTTAACACAGCCAAAATACCGGGTGGTCGATTTGGTCTACCGTACATTTGATGTTATAATTGTCTATAATTTCGAAAGAATTTCGAATTTTCCCCTGAAATTTTCAGAGAATATTATTCAAATATGATGCTTTCTCAAAAGTCGGTTTTTTCGACTCGAGAAAGTGTAAGGTCCCCTTGAGATGATTCTACCAAATTTTTTGCCAAACCTTTCTTTCCAGAGTTATCAAGATCACCTTCAGTACACACAAATCACGAAACACTCTACTGACGCTCTAATTCACGTTCGAGATCATTAAATGAGTTCCAAGGTACAGAACGAAATGTTTATAAACAGTACGCAAGAGGTCAAATGAATAATGACTAATACTAATCTACCAACAGCTCTAGAAAGTGAACAACAGCGTGGCATGCTATTCTTCTTTAATAGAGATCGTAATAGGAGATTCGGTTCGAGCGCCTGGCGCGATACAGGACTGTTTTTTATTTGAGAATTGCTCAAAGCACGTGGCCCGATGGTGGACCATAATTAAGTGTCCCATCGCTGGCGAAAGTGGGGCTGCACCCAATCACATCCGAACCATCGCGTAGATTAGATCTTGTACTTTTAAACCGTATCACAATAAACGTACTCCTTATTTTTCATAATAATTTTACTGTTTCTGCCCACTGCACCTCTGATATAAACCTCAAAATTACTACAAAACTGTTGCAATTAAGAGTTTTCTTCAGTCTTCTTGGATTCAGAAAAAAATATTTGTTATGTAATTCATCTCAGTATCCTCTAAAAGATGGATATAACAATATTGTAGGTTTCCCTGCAGAAAACCGAAGGTGACCTTGATAACCCTGGAAAAAAAGGTTGACAACAAAGGGTAGAATCATCTTAAAGCAGAATAATCTAAGCTGATCACACTTCGTAGTCCACCTTGTATAATTTTTTGGGGAGGTTCGTTTTCAAAAACATCAAGAACTAAAACAATTCTATATTCTAATAAATAGTCATAAAAGATTGTATTTTCTTACAAATTTTAACAGTATTTAATACAATTTATTGATATCAGTAGCTTCTTTTAATCTGCTTACAGAAAAATAGTTGTATGTTAAATACAATGTCAAAAAGATATTATAGTTCTGCAGTAAGTAATGTATAATATTACTACCAAGTATTCTTAGATACGTTCCTTTCTG